TATATATATATATATAAACAACTCAATAATTCTAATGTTGGCAAAAGAATAACTCCTTGATTCGGTCTAGCTACCCTCTTGGCAGGCGACTGTACATGCGTAAAATATAAGAAGATTCTGCATCAAGGAGCACAAAAAGAGCTCTTCTACATAAAAGTAGACAGGTATAAGTAAATAGTCACCCTTAAATATGGATACTTGTATGTATAATACATACGCAGTCTTGTGAAAATCGATGTACTTCAAGTAAGTTCTATCTTTGAAATGAAATTCTCTGAGATGAAGTATGATGGAGTATTTGACGCTTATGCAATCAAATTACGTGAATTACTACACACGCGAGCCATGCAGCCATTATTTATAAATGTGTTCGGGGAATCCTAATCCCTTAGCAATAGAAATTTGATTAAGTCAAAGGAAAATAATATGCAAATTTGCTTTCATGTATATTACAATTTTACTATGGAAATTAGTATAACATGACTTGTCAATCATTAATCTACGAATACTTATAAAAAGTTTGACAGAGTTTAACAAAATTTTCAGAAAGAGAGGATATCTATATATGTAGATAAATCAACTTTTAATATCAAATTATATTAATTATTTTTAAATAAAAACGATCAATATAATTAATTATAAGATATAAAACATTGATATTAAAATCAAAATATAATGTGTATTTATACTTAAATAACTGTTAAAATTTTTTAATAATAATTTAATTTCTTATGAAATTTTGTTTACTTGCCTAATAACATAAAACAAAACTATTTTTCTCGAAACATTATATACAAAATATGAAAATATTTAATGGTTTTTCTATTTAATAGTTTTTCTATTTAAAACAAATAGGAAACGTAGAATAGAAAATAAATATAAAATCTCTTATTATATAAAAATTTGACAAATAAGAATCTGATATTTGGGAAACGTTGCAGTTGTAGTAAATCAATCATCTAATACGACACTTTATATAAATAAATAAAGCATTTTCTCTCAAGAGAAAAGAAAATATACAATATATATAAATAACAATAAGAATACAGATATATCTCTGTACTTACGACGTGCAGTAATTATATTCCGAGACTTCAGTCATAAATCGAATTTATCGTAAAATATAATAATCATTGTTTCTCTTTTTCTTTTAGTAATGCTATTTGTACTACTAACTAGATATGAATAATTATAACAAGGTTACATGAAAAAATAATGCCCGTTTCCATTAATGTAGATTAATTTTAATTTCAGTTCAACTTTTTTGCTCTTCAACTTTTTCTAATTAGTGCATACTGGTCATAAATCCAATAATCCAT